GGAAACACTCACTGGCAGTGGAATCGCAAGTCAGAAGTAAGCCCGAGCCTCAAAGACCTGACTGGCCATGTCAGCCCGGAACTGTCTACTCCACATTTTCTTACTTTAAAGAAATGTATGTCTATCTTTTTAAAAACTCCTACTACTTTAGCTTTTCTATTATACAGAAGCACAGTCAAACCTAATCCTAACCAATATATTCAGTGATTTAAACAAATGAAACACTTGCTAATGCCTTCCAACAGCAGCACAAACTCCCTGAGGAAACACCCGGCAGTCATTCCTGACAGACATGTATAAGAGATTGCTGTATAGCAAGAAAACTGGACTTTGGGCTGCTCAGTGCCCTTCCTGAAGGCAATTAAGATTCCAAGGCTACTACTGGGACAAAGTGGCTCTAAGCTTGCCAGAGATGTGGTAATACTTTGCTCGGAATCTAGCCGCCTCCTGTTACAATCAGTGGGAATACACGTTTTCTCTAACAATTCCATCCTGAGCATTTCCAAGCTTCTGCTCAAGCACTAACTTCTCATTTGTGTCTTTTGAAACTAACCTGACCTCAACTACAGCACGCTAGGTTTTTTGCCTTTCACCCCCGGATCTGCTTTTCAATTCCACCACACATCTGCCTTCTGTGAATTAAATTGAGCAGGCTCTCTTGTCCCCTGGTTTCCAGCTGGGATGAACCAAATGGACGCTCCAGGAGGTAATCAGAGAGTAGGGAAAGTATTTGATTCCTGCCTGCTGGACCACTGATCATAGTGGCTACAATCCAACAGGCTATCAACCCCTCAGGTAAACTCCCACAAATTTCCAGAATTTACACCCTCCTTCTCCCCCTGAGGTCTAAGAGTCACAAAGGCTCTCTGTTTGCTGGCTCTGGGACATTTTATCATCCCCTGTTGGTTTCTCTTAATCCTCTCCAGCCTTAGTAACAGTCCCTGATATCCTGTCACACTACTACCATGTGCCAGATGGCTGATGTATCCAGCACGCTCTTTCAGCCTTCCCTCTTCCACCTTCCCAGATGGCTACTATCTCCCCTCACCCCACCCCCTGGTCCTCTCAGTAATTGGGTTCTGTGTGTTTACACACTAAGATTGACTCACTACAAATCAATTCCCTGTGGAAAATTCTTAACCCCAGGCTGATTCCCAATTCTGCCACCTCTGTGTACAAATTGTATGTAATATTAGATTGGACAAAGCCTAATTAAGAAAGCAAAGGCTACTAAAAATTCCTGACACACAAGCTGGAAAACTAAACCAAACACTGATATTTGGACTTTACCTATAACTCCCCTGAAGACTTATTACAGTTCTGCTCCATTTATAAGATTAGAACAATGCCAAATATAACGCTCATCCTTTGTGGCCACTTACAAAAGTGCAAATGTCTTCTCGGTTAATCTCCCATGCACTTTCCCTTTCTTCCAACTAATCCTACAAACAAGACACCAGAGCCAAATAATAGAAATGAGCTTTTAACAGCAGCAACATTTCAGTTTATTGCTTAATTCTCATGGGAGATTAGGAAAAAAAAAAAAACCTCCCCTGAAAAAGATATGAAGGACAAAGATAAAGATAAGCTCAGAGACCTGGAAAGACTTTTATTTTTGAATTAAAAACCAAAACTAAGTAAGGTTTGCTAGGTTCAAATCAAGAAAAGAGCGCTATCGAAACACTGATAAGGAAAGCACCTCTTAAGAGTTTTTCTCTGCTGCAGATCATCCCACACAGGATCTTTAACACACTCCTAAGCAGTAGGGCTTGACCCGTCACAAGCGAGATGACCCTAAGTGACACCATAAAGACCCATTAAACGCTCAGCAAAGACTCATTTCCCCACCCACAGGAAAGCACCAACTACACAGACACACATTTATCTATGTTAAAGAACCACAGCTCAGGGTTTCCCAACCTCAGTACTACTGACATGGCAAGCCAGCTCATTCTGGGTTGTAGGAGACTATACACACTGCATGATATTTGCCCTGACCTCTCCTGCAGGATGTCTAGTTGCATTCCTGACCTCTAACCAGCAGCACTCCTCAAGTATGCTGAGCAGAAGTGCTTTCACAGATTGCCAAAGGTCTCCGAGGAGAAAAACTACTCCTAGTTGACAGCCATTGCCCTAGATAAACAATGATCACGCAAACCCCACCCAGCACTACCTGGCCACCCACACTCACCTTCATCGACTACGAGCTTTCATACTCAATGGGTCAGAAAGAGAAAAGCCACTTGAGCTTATAAACACTACAAGTACTGGGCAATCTGCAAAGTGATCAGACCTCCTGGCACTGAGAAGAATATGGATGGAAAGAACAGTTGACAGAGTAAGGAATGGCTGCTCCCTGAATGCCTGATTTGAATTCTCTCTGAAAGCATCACAGCTCTCAGCAAAGGAGCACACTCCTTGTATTCTCCTTGAGACACAGGTGGGAAGTATGGCAGTGGTGACACGCCACATGCAAGCAAATAGAAAAAGCCAGGCAAACCACTCTAAGCAAATTAGTACAAAACTGAGCTCACAACACACTGCCCAAGTACCTAAGCTCTTTGGTCTTGATTTGAGCCTCATTATTTACAGACTCCAGGTGATGTTCAGGGTTTCTCTCATAGCACACTGACAGCCCTATCAAACCCATGTTCTCTTCCTACAAGGATTTTCTAATGACCTTTTAATATTCTGAAATGAAACTTAAAGATTATAGCACTATAGCTATCGACAAATTTTTAAATTTAAATCTAAAGTCCTTTAAAGAAAAACAAGATTTTATAGCAAAGCATGTATTTTATTATGAACTCCCATTTTTAAAGTGCTCCCAGGATGCCACAGCAGTTTCACCCCTTCTATAACAACACAGCACAATGGCCCACACAGCACAATGGCCAGCAAGCTCAGTCTCCTACCAAAACATGGCCCCCAGGAGGGGTAGCAGAGACAGATCTGAAGTCACATCACCTGGTTCCACCACTTAGTTGCTATGGTAGCTGATACAAGTCTAGCTTTTCATCTATGAAAGGAAACTGCCAACACATTATTCAAATGGTTTTTGTGAAAACTGAGTGTAGAATATCTCCTTCTGTACCCAGTATGTAATACATGCTGGGTAAACAAAGCATGCACAACACCCTCAGTTCAATAAAAATAAGCACTGTAAAAATAAGTAAATAACTCCCAAGGAGCAGACAACAGCTTTTCCAGTGAAAGAACTTCATGAACTCTGTGTGTAGTCTTCAGAAAATGGGGACTGTTGAGGAACACCCAACTCTACACCTTTATAACTGAAGCTTTAGAGCACTGAGCAAAGCAACAGACCTATATATCCTAGATTATGAGAAAATATGAAAGGTGGGAAAGACGAAAGGTAGAGCAAAAGCAAGAAAAATATTTCAAAACAAAACTGATTCCAAAGTTAGTATGCTGCAATTCAATGTTCAGGCTGTTAAAGTAAGTTCACAGGGGCCAGGGAGATGGCTCAGTGGAATAAGCGCTTCCCTGGCAAGCGCAAGGGCCTGAGTTCAATCCCCGGTTCTGCAAAAAAATAAATAAATAAAATAAATAAAGTAAGTTCACAAGTCCCAGAAGTAAGAAATACAACTCTGTATGTGGAGAAATAAATACAGATCTATAATTTACACAACCACACAAATGTGGTGAAAGCACCTGCCAGTTACTGAAACCACTTTGAATGAACCCTCTGCAATGCTGGCAGAGGCTATCTATCGCTGGATGATGGAATTAGGGCCAAGGGTGTGGGTGGAATCAAAGGGGGAGATCTGTTTCCTCTTCTTCACTGACAAAAATGCTCTTATAAAGGAAATTTTAAATTAGCTAAGGTTATTTATTACCTACTTGATATCTGAGAAATCTGAGGAAAGCATCTATTCTAGGGAACTTGTCATTAAGCTCTATGGATAAAGCAAGCATTCCTCTGCCTCTGACACACAACCTGAAATCATACTTGCCCCACACCACACCCCAAATTAAAAGGAAATCACACCTTAATCTTCCCTTTTTTGTTTCCTGCAGATCTTACAGGTTTTGCCATTGTAAAGCGTCGTCAACACTGGTATAAGAAAGTAACACTACTGTTTTTGCCAACTTGTCAGTGACATCAACCAATTCTGTGGGACGGTGAGGAAAACGTGAGAAAATGTTCATCGATCTCCGACACCGCATGAGGAGGTATTAAGAGTCAGAAGGTGATTTACTACACAAAAACTAATCCCAAATACTTTTTCTGTATCTTTACTTAAAAGCTATGGGCTTCCCACAATTTTCACACTAGAGACTACACAGAATCTAAAACGTCGCTGTGTACCTGGTAGTGTTATTTTCCCTACTTGGTAAAACACACACACACACACACACACACACACACACATATTAAGAGGAGCAAAAACGGGATTCCCCAAAACTTACTTCGGGCTAGTTCAAAAAGCATGTATCAAACACCTACTACAGTCAGGGTACTCACTCCTAAACAAGACATGGGTTCTACCTCGCCGGGAATCATACCTCTAGAAGACAAGTATGCCAGGCGGTGATAAAACATAGCACTAAAGTTTTAAAACGTCTCTAGTTGTCTGAGAAAGAAGAGATACAAAACCACTTGCAACAATTCTGAAAAGCGTTCTGGAAGAACGTTTACGTTCTACATGCTGTGTACGGTCCTAAGCATCAACTGCCATGCAAAAAAAGCGATAGAAATGCTCTCCTACCGCTGGCAAGCATCAAAGATGAAATCACCACAAGGAGATTCTTTTTTTTTGGGGGGGGGCGTGGGCGGCGGGGGACACGTTGTTTCAGCGGGCCTTGCACTCAATTTGTAGCCAGGCACTCAATTTGTAGCCCAACCTGGCCTCGAACTCGCAGCCTCCCGAGTGCTGAGATTACAGACGAGGGTCAGCCACCACGCCCGGCTAAGCAGACCCTTTGGACTAAAAATAAACCTCAAAGTCCGGAGCCCTCGGACTTCTGGGAAGACTCACCAACATCAGAAGGTCTGTGCTAGGCATCTTCCCCTTTCGAGGTCCTCTCGGTTCCCCCTTTTCTCAGTATCTATAAAGGAAGGAAAACAGGTCTGTTTACTTCTAAGGCTTTAAACTGTCTTGACCGCCCGCCTTGATTCGGCAGAGCAAAAGATGGGGTGAGCCCGCCTTGAAAGACTCGGATTTCACCCCAGAAACTCCAAAGCAGAACAGCGCAATCCCGCTGCAACTGCTTTCCTCCCGCGGCCGTCAGCCGAGATCCACACGCGGGCAGCTGCTGGGGAGCTCGCCCGCAGCGCCGGCTGGGGTCCCCGAGCCCGAGGCCCCGGGCCCACAACCCGCCCGGCTCGGCCGCCGGGCCATTGGTCCCGGTGCATCCTCCCGGGCCCCGGTCCTGGGACCAGCGAGCCGGGCGTCCTCCTACCGCGCCGGGCGCCGGGACTCCAGCCCCGCTCGGTCCGCTCCGGCCTCGCGCCGCCGGCGCCCAGACCCCTCCTCCCGGCCCTCCCCACCCTCAGCCCGGTCGCGGCGGCCCCTCCACCTCCTCAGACCGGAACCAGCTGGCCCGATGCTTCCCGCGGGCGCGCTTCCTCGCGCAGCACCCGCGCCCTCGGCTCTTCCCCGGCGTGGGACTGACCCGCCGCCGCCAGCGCCGCCTGTCCCTCCACAGCCGCCGCCACCCCCACCGCCCCTGCAGAGATTGGGGGTGGAGCCGCCGAAGGCCCCGCCTCTCCCGGAAATGGCCTTCAGCGCCGGCGTGCGCGTCCCCGCGGCTGCAGCCGCGCGCACGTTCCCGCCACGAGGGTCCTCGCCGCTCCTGCGGGCCCACAGCGCGTGCGCGCCGCCTGCTGGCTAGCGGGGCTTCCCGGACCCTGGCGCAGGGCTCGGAGATCCTGTCTGCGTCTACAGACCTGAGAGATTATCCTTATCTTCTTTTTAAAACTATCTTAGAAAAACAAGAATTAAGATGAGTTATGTACATGTACCAACTGCCCACCATGAATGCACAAACGTGTACTAAGAAAACTAAATTTTAGAAATCAACTTTCTGATGATGGTAGGACATTTAGCCTGAGTCCCGAGAGGAAGGTTTTGAGACTTTGAATGAGTGACCATTAAGTCTTGTTTCTTTCCTGAGTCAGAGAGTGGATTTTACGTCAAACTCCCTGGAAAAGGAAAGTAGCATGTAAACTTGTTTAATGACATCATCCTAACCTCCACATTCTCCACCACCCCCCGAAAAAAAAAAAAAAAAACAGCAGAAATGACAGGCATTGGGCAAAATGCCACCTATTTTCACAAGCGATGTTGGGGACCATTTAATACTGGGGAAAAGACCCACCAAGGCCACAAAGGGGACCTTTCATTTTAGGCTTAAAAGAAAATTCTCAAATAGGTTTTCCAGGACTTCCCTGGGATGCCTTAACACTAATTTAGTGGAAGCAGAGGACCACATGATTGTATCAGTGACCTGCATACAGTAGTATGTGTTGTCAATAGATTTTAAAAATGGATTTAAATTCCTAGACAGAATCCTGAGCCTCCCAAGAGAAAGGTCCACAATGAGGGTAACCAGTTGCATCACTACCCTCATTGCCCTCATCTGGTGCGTTTAAGGTGAATTCCTTGTTAACACAACTGCCCGCCTCTGTTAGCGTGTCTCAGTTTCACGGACGGAAAGCTTAGGGCCCTGGAACGGGCTTCCTTCACTCCTGCCTCATCTGTTGTCCCAGACATCTCTGCCACCCAGAGCCCTGAATCAGGCAGACACTGACACCCCCATACCCGCACCCCTCCTAGTGCTGTTTCCCAGAAAATGTGTGTTCTTAGTGTTCTGGAGGGTCAGAAGATATGCCGGGACCCTCCTCGCAAGCCTACTGATCAGGAGTCACCTCAGGTGTGCCCTCCACATACTCCCCACCCCCTATTTCTGTAATAAGGAATTAAGTCTCCAACTTTTACTTCTTCATCCGAACTGCCCCCACTCTATCCCTTTAGCGACCTTAGCTTCCTTTAACCTAGAATCTGTGCACACAGATGACTGGAGGCACAGCCGCAGTTCCTTCCTTACTCTCAGGCAGGGTAGGCAGTCTAGTTCCTCCCAGAGGCATGAGCCAATTCAGCTGTGTTAACCAACCCTCACTTTGCCAAGAACTATGCCAGGCACCTTTATGTACAAAGTCCTATTTATATCCTGATTTGCCCAGATCGGCGGAGGCTCTTCCCCCAACTGGTAAACAAGGGCCCCAAGATGAGAGCAATAACAGGTCTAGGGGGAAAGCGAGTCCTGGCCATTTGTAGTGGCGCTCTGGGCTTGCAACTGTGAGTCCCTGAGGCGGGGTGTGTGTGTGTGTGTGTGTGTGTGTGTGTGTGTGTGTGTGTGTGTGTGTGTTAGAGAAAGAGAGGGAGAGGCAGAGACAGAGTTCAGGCCTTGACACTCCCGTTTCCCCGTCCTGCTGTTCTTGCAATATCAGCAGAACTTAGGTGCCTGGTGGGAGCCTCTCTACACCAAGTGTGGCCTCTCAGGAGCAGTTTCGGGAAGCTTCTTAGAGATAAAGAGTTTGGGAGCCCCAGTCCAGACTCCCTGAATCAGTATCTACATTTTAACAACCCTATTTATAGAAAAGCATTGCTTTTGTTTTTGGTTTGTACTGGGAATCAAACTAAGGACCTTGTGCCTGCCAGGCAGGAGCCGTGCAACTGAGCTATATCCCAAGCCCAAGGCACAATTTTATTATGTGTAATTGTTTGAGATAGTTTAAGAAGGTTAAGAGGAAAATGTTCATGGGAGGGGCAGCTGCTGCTTCCTAAGTTGTTCTTCTGTAACTTCATGGCATCTTCCATAGTAACAAAAGATTGGCAGGGGTCAGAGGTGACTGCAAGAACTGGAGGAAGAGAAGGTCCTGCTCATGCAGACAGCTGTGGGGTGCTGAGAGGGTGGAGAAAAATGCTGTGGGGGTTCCCCTTTATGGCTAGGAGGATGTCACTTCCATGTCTCTGTGTACTGATTGCTAAAACCACTCATGCCAGCAAATCTGGTTCTGCTTAAGTTGGCACCCACCTATGGCCAAGGCAGATGACATCCCTTCCACTCTAAAAATGCAGAAACACGTCATGTCCCCACACCTGTTCCTGACACTCTTTGCCCATTGAGGACCATCTTTGGGAGTTTACCTCAGGACAGGGCCATAGGCAGGTGTGAAGAGCTGGTAGCTTCAGAGTCCCTGTAGAAAGGGCCCATAGGAGTGCCCCCTGTAGGAAGCCACTCAACAGGGAGCCCACAACGCCCCAACAGGAGCAAGAAACCAACAAGTGGTGCCAGCAGCCAGCAGGGCAGCTCATGGCAGAGCTACCAAGTGGAGAGAACGCTAAAGATCACTGGGGTGTGCGGGCATCCATATCAGAAAGCAGGGCTCATGCTGTGAGCCAAGGGTCAATGAGCCACTGCATTTTCACGCAACCCATGTGAACCCATGGCCTTCCCCACTGTGTGTCCCAGGTGCCATATCTCAAAGTCAAAATAGCCACGACCTCAGAGAACACAGATTTCCTTCATGGAAGCCCCACCCTTCACAGAGGCACCCACTGTGGGCTGTACAATCACTTCCAGTGAAACATCAAAAACACAGTGATTTTTATCAAAAGCCAAACAAGTTCAAACTTCCTTTGGCAGAAGGAAACCAGCAGGGAACTGAGATGAGAGAACAGCTTTGAAGGCAAGTGGAGTGACCCACCCCCTCAGAGATCACAGTGACAGTTCAGCATGTTTGCTTTCCAGATTTTAAAAACATTTTATTTATGTATTGAAATGTTTGTGCTGCAATAATTAAAATCACTTGAACTTTAAAAACGGCGTTTTGATTAATCCACTCTTTACATCCCACAAGGCCCGGGGAACCGGCTTGGATGCTCCCCCTAGTTTCCTTGTCATTTTACCCAGCCTCCTCCTTCAGCACCATGTGAGTTATTTTCTTTCCCTACCAGCCAGGCAGGCAGATGGGAGAGGTGTACACAGTCTTGGTTTTCAGGAGTTCTCCATCCTTTAATGGGAAAAGACAACACAGTTGTTTAAACTTGACCTACCCTGTGTGTTCTGCTAACAGCTAAAAGAAGGAAAGTAAGACAGCAGCGCTTGCAGGATGAGCAGCGCCTATTGGCTCATTCCCACTTACTTGCCTGCTTCCCTCTCCTATCCCTTTGTTTCTTTTAAAGGCAGCAGCCTGCGTCTCTGTCTTTGATTCTAACTTTGCAAGTTTCTCCATCTCAGCCGTATTGGGTTTGTCACATGAGCCTGCAGGAAAGCAGAATGGGGTATAGGGAAGTTGTTTTAGCTGTTGAAGCTGGCCAGCCACCCTTGTAAAATGAGTTAATAGCACGTCCCCTAGGACTGTTAACAATTGTACCCACACTTATAGGCCTGTCCCATAAAAGGCATTGAAGAGTGCCTGCCCAGTAGCTCCAAGATTTCACCCCAAGCTTTGTGATAAGCTCAGTCCAGCTGTCACGTTGTCCTAGCTGATCTGGTTTCCATCCCCAACAAGATCCTTCCAGGTGAGCCTCTGCGTCTGAGGGTGCCCTGGCCCTTAGTAGGGCTTGCCTGTGAATGATCACAGACCTACTGTCTAACCATAGGCCCTGTCTCTTGTGCAGCAGTTAACCCCCACGCCAACCAGATCCAACACCCCTGCTTACAACACGCATTTTTGTGACTACCTTTTGCTATCTTGAAATCAGATTTTTATAAACTGTCAAGTGGTAAATACATTCTTTTCACTCTCTGAAGGTTCAATAATTTATGTATGAATTAAACTGACAGCAGACAGATTAACAGGAGAGAAACCACATACATTTATTATGTGCTTATGCACCGGAGCCCCACAGAGTGTGGGACTCCAAGAAAGCCAGATGACTGAAATGTATGGGACACCCTGAGCTGTAGAGAGGAAGAGGGGCTTGAGGGCTTCCACAGGAATGGGGGGGGGGACACAGGGCCTGGCGGGGGAAGGGAGGCACGGTGAATGTGGGTTTTCTAATACACATAAAAAAGTCTCTCAAATAAACATGAAGAACAAAAAGTTTGCAGATTTGTCAGATAATAGTTCACTCTGTACCAAAATCAAGAAACTTATATTCATATAGCTAGAATTCTCAAAGTAGAAGGGGCTAGGCAATAAATATTGAAAGATATTCATTGGAGCCAGGGAGATGGCTCAGTAGAATAAGCGCTTCCCTGGCAAGCGCAAGGGTCTGAGTTCAATCCCTGGTTCTGGAAAAAAAAAAAAAAAAAAGAAAGGAAGGAAGATATCCATTTCAGAAATATTTTTCTAAAATTCACTCTGTCTACATCTTCTGTCTTTCACATTTCAGTATTTGTCTACAATTTTTAACTTGCTATATAATTGTTATTGATTTTCAATAAAGTCAATAATGAGGGGGGGACAAGTCTCTCACGTAGTAAAGTTGCATCGAGGGGCCCTCAAAATAATAGATATCGGCCAGAGACCAAGTCTGTAAT